TTACCAGGTTTATAACATGTGACATGTTTTTATAGTAGTCTATTAAGTGTAATATAACCCCAAAAAAGGGTTTCAGTACTTGCAGTGAGCACAGCAAACAAACAAATGATATGTAATATACCAGTTAAACTTATTGGTTCTATGTTATTATCAAGGTGATAGCAGATGGTGATAATTGTTTATTTTCAGGCAAAATGATATCAGTGCTGTGTTAGATATCACGTTTTGTGTCGAGCACGATTCTTTTGGGGAGCTTCAAGTTCATGAATTAAAACCAAATGGAAAAAAAATACCTGTGACAGATGACAATAAAAAGGAGTATGTCAGGTGAGGAGGTTATTTTTTTATCTCTTAAGTATATGATTGTAGTGTTTTAAAAAACATGCAGAACCCTCTAAAATATGAGAGATCCTTTTTAATAAAGTTGTTAAAAAAACAACTATTTGAGAGAGTTCTTTAGTAATAATTGTATGTAATATTGAACAGGGAATATGTTTTCAATAAAAAGATTTTTCCTGGAAGAATGTAAATTGAGTATGTTTAACCCTTTAAAGATTTTAGTCAAAATAATAATTCCAACTTTATTTTAACAGTTTTTTTACAATGAAACATTTTTGGAATTAATAAAACTCATTTTGTAACAATGTTTCATGTAATTCTCTAAGAAAAATAATATGTTCGAACATTTATTTTTTGGACAGCTGTGAGGATTTTCACCTGTAAACAATGCACACATCAGTTGTTTTTAGATTTTTTGTGACCTATTCAAAGCATAGGTTTGTATTTGTTAAGATACTATTATTGAAAATATAATTATCACTGTTTTTCCTTTTTTTTCTTTGAAGTTTATCAGTATATCTCTTGATTCTTCCCGTTTTATGACATCACAGCAAGAGATTGAACAACTACTAATGAAGCTCAGCTTGTAAAATAGCTACAATACCATTAGGGCTGGTTATAAATTATTTACATAAATGTAGAATGAATGAAATGATCTGAGAAGTAAGTTATGGTTTTGTGGGATAGTGATAAGACCTAACTCAAACAGAGCACAACAACCTAATGTAGTGGGAAGTTTAGAACATTTAGGAACAAACCACGGGCCTGGGAATTTTTATAGTCTTTTTAAACATTCTCTTTACTCATGAAAATGTTTTTGTGTTAAATTTTTTTTATTTGAAAGCTATAGAAACTTTTTTCTATGAAGAGATTCCCGTTGGTCAGGTTTAGAGAGGTGTTAGCAAGGTATTCCATTAACCAAAATCCTTATTGAATATTATTGTTAAGTTTATCATATTCAAACAGCTCACATAAATAAAATAACTTGTAGTTATTGAAAAGAAATTATATTCATCAGATGTAAGTTGATTTTGACAAAGAATATTTTTAGTAAAGATATTTCTACTTGATCTGATCTAGGCTATTGATAAATCTTTCTGATGCTTTATATGTTTTATAGCTGAAACTGGTGACCACTGCATTTGACAAAATACAGTATCAAAATCAATTTTTTGATGCATGTTAATTCTGAAGATATCATTGGATATATGAAATTGAAATTTCTGAGCAACAAAAAAAAAGTTCTAAAGCAAAAAAGAAATGTTTTTGAAAACTGATAGCAATATTTTGGAGAGTCCACAACAAAAAATGGTTGAAAAAGCCAAATCAAATTATACACATTTTTGTAAGCCAAAAGTAAATGCTGTTTAATAAGCTTCTTGTAAGTTTTGTTCAATTTTTTAAAGGAAGAAATCAAGGGATGTCATTGACACTCTCTCCGTGAAAAGGGTTAATATTTCAAGAGTTTGTTTTACATATAAGTTGTTGTGAGAATTAACCAGGGATTATTTCAACTTTGGTATTTCTTGATCGTACTAGTTTAAGTATTGAGAAATAACTTGCAGCTAGATTGTGAACATATACCCTTGTTTTTATTTTTTTTGGTGATTTTCATCAGGATTAGTGTTAGAACTTGTAGAGTTACGACAATATTATTACTAGAATATCAGCAAAGTATTTATCTGTTTTACTGTTCTTATACTGATACTGGATGCACCAAATTCAGTCTCAATTTTTTTAGAATTTAATGTAAGGAAACGTTAGAAACCATTAAAAATGTTGTACGTATATATTTGGACATTTTTTTACTGGATAGAGTTTAAAGGTAAATGATGAGCTTCAGTGGGATTTTTGTGATTAACGAAAGATTATTTTTTTCATGTCAGTTGGTGATTTGATTAAAAACACTTGTAACATTTTGTAAAATACACATTTCTGTGTGAAAGTTCATCTCGGAAGAATGGAAGTAGATGTATTGGATAGTATTTATATTGATGGCTCACTCGTATATATTGGATATGTTTTGCGACAGTTTTTGATATGAATTGTTTTTCATTAGATTGTATGTGAATTACCGGTTCATGCGAGGAATAGAACAACAATTTCTTGCCTTACAGAAAGGTTTTAATGAACTGATCCCTCAGCATCTGCTGAAGTCCTTCGACGAGAAGGAACTGGAGGTAAGACTTATAAATTTTATAACTGATTGTTAATGTTCAAAAGTACACTAGAGAAACTCTTTTCCTTTTCGTCAGTATAACTTCTTTATTTATACAATTAATCTGTTTTCTCTCTCAATGTAACCTTTCTTCTGCTGTATAATGACAGATTCATGGAAATTTGTACTGGTACTCAATGTGACCTTCTGATAGGAGTTAACCCTTGAACTACTGACTTGGTCCACATATTGAATAGTTTTATTGTTGCGACAGTCAGTGTAAAGATGTGACCAAGTCACATGAGGGACCCCAGCAGTAATTATACAATATTGGTGATATTTATTTTTTGTGTGACTTATCTTATTAGAAACTAATAAATCAATGTGGCATACAAAGAGCTTAGAAAAATTTAATTAACTAGTTGATCTTATCAGGAATTTGAAGGTTTGTATTTGAACATGTACGTTATAATAAAATGTTATTGTGCAATGTGCTCACAATGATTTGTAAACTGTATCATGTGAATGGAATTGTG